ATATATAATATATATTATATATATATATACATGTATTTCGATACATATACATATATTTTATACACACGCAAAAATTGCACGAGTTGAACTAAAATAGGAATTATTGAAAAATGTATTACAAAGAAAGAACGTAGTGTATCTTCTCAATATTGACGGCACAGTGTGTCTACATATGGCAATCACAAATGCTCGGATGTTAAGGCGCTTGAATTACGCTTCTTGTTTCTTCTTTTCAGGCAGGCCAGGATCTGTCATTCTATGTGACCGTTTTCGACGGTCATGTCAAAGTGAAACTTGGGGTTTACGTTAACATCGAGCATGAATCGACAACGAATCGAGCAAGGATAAGGTGCGTGATCTGATACACATATACACTTCCGGGCCCGTGAGCGTTGATATTTTGGATAGGTCAATGCAACCTATCGTGTTTATTAAAAAAAGAAAACAAACATGATATGCAAAATGTAAATGCTAAATTTCGAAGAAGGAATATATGTACATGTATAGTAATATTCTAGAGTTATATCAGTTAATTTGCATTGATATTGAAAGTAAAATTTTAAAAGATTTCAGATTTTTTGAGGATAAATAATATTGTTCTAATATAAAATATGTAAAAACATATTAATTTCTAAATATATTAATTTTTTTAAGCTTTAAAAAAAATTAATGATAAACATGTTATTTTAAAATCATTTATGGATTTCGGTCAAATGATAATTTAGAAATGTGATTTAATAATATGCAAGATCCCAACTTTTGATGTCTTCGTATATGTTACATTTTTACTGCATCATTTTCAAATAATTCTTTGCATCGTATATATGTGAAATATTTATTAATGTGAAACTTCTTAATTAAAAAAAAATATTCCGCATTTTTAAGATTAACAAATTTTCTTTTTAAAGAATATAACTTATTGTAATAATTAAACTTGCTCTAATTATAATTTATTCTAATTTAATAAAAATTTATTCTCTCATTGTATTTATAAAAAAACTTTAATAATTAACATTTTAATAAAAACTATATTAAATTGAACGAGCTTGCGAAATAGTAGTTTTTCCCATAAATGGCAAGGAATAACACGCCGACCTTAAGGGAATTCAGCAGTGATCGTTCTATTATTCATGCTCCACTTCGTTAACGATAATAGACGCTACTTGAATAAAAATTGCAGAGTGTAAGAAGTACTTGTTATAAAGAACCTATGTTTCTTATGTTAGGATATCAATTCAACAGATCATTCAATCGACGAAATATCTAATTTATGCGTGTATATTATAAGAAATATATCAATATTTTTATATAAATACATATATTATACGTATATTATAATACATATATTATAAATATAATATAAATATTAAGTTAAGAAATAAAAGTTAAAAATATTAAACTTAGAAAATATGTAATTACATACAGAGAAAAGATTTCTTTAAATCAAACAAATTTATGCATTGGAATAGTCCAACCAAATGTTTGGATGTTTAAATTAAGAATATGATTACTGTCATTAAAACTAAATTTTTTTTAATAAACAAAATATGTTTTATTTGAAATTAAATTTGTTTCAATGAAACAAATGTAAATAGAGAACTCTCGAGTCCAAACAAATCATTTTCTTACTACTAAATTATAGAGCAATTTTATTTGAAATAAATTTCATTAGCGTGCACGCGCGCGCACACACACACACACACACACACACACATAAACAGATTAGATTTTTTTATTTAAAAAATTCTTTCTGATTTAATTTTTTGGCAGGGTACCATATTTAAATCAACCTAATTCCGGTAGCGGAATACGACCGCCGTTCGTACCAAATCTGTCGTCCTTCCCTTCGCCACCTTTACCCCCTTTACCGCCGAAACAGTACCATCCTGAAACTACGAAACTCGAGTTGGAAAGAATAAAACCTAAGGAGAATGACAGTAACGTCAACAGCAATACCATCAGTACTGTCAGTACTGTCAGTACAGAAGAAAACGTCCGAATAAACGAAGTAGAAACTCCTGCATTAAGCTCGAAGATTGCACCTTCCGCTGCGCCGCCTTCGCAAGATATGGCGATGACGCTGGTACCGATAGCAGCTGGATGCGCCCTCGTTGTAGGTCTTGGTCTGGGTGCCTGGTCCCTGAGAAATAAATTTTGCAGTAACCGCAAATCCAAGGTGAACATGGTACTCGAAATAAGATTGATTTAAAAAAAGGAAGATCTAACCTTTTTTATAAAAATAAAAATATATTAATTTTTACACAAATTTCAAACAAGGTATTTAATAAGACTGAATCGGATTTTCAGAAGGGACAAGCGTCAGTCAGCGTTTCTAATCTATCAGACGAGCCTTCTCTCGTCCTGAAGAGATGGCGAGGTTCAAAGACTCGTAACAATCGTTACCAACCATGGGAAAAGGAATTCCAAGCAGGCATTCAGAATAAACAAGAGGATAAATGGGAATTTCCCAGGCATAGATTAAAGGTGTGATCATCATTCTACACTTGATAATTAATTGATCATGAAACTGATAATTAATTCCATGAGTATTGCTACATTATTAAGCGCTCTTCTCTATTTAGAGGACGTAAAATTGAGTGTTTTTCAAAAATGGGTCGTAGATAGATGGTGAAATCAAAGTGTGTGATAGTTTGAGATCTTTTTTCTTGACATGTTAATGTAAGTGCTACGTATTTATTTCTTAAATATTATATTCAACATAGGCGGTACCCAAGGTGTTGTGTAATGGTGTCAAAATTTCCGAGGTCTCCGCCGTTGTAAAAAATTTAGTGTCTAATAGAGCTAGAATAAAAAATCAAAATTTTTTACAATTAATTATAATGGGTTCTTGACTGTATAAACCAAGGAAAATGAAAAATAATAATTTTTCACTAAATGACAGTGTTGTAAAAAAAAAAAGTTATTTTTTCGCTTGAAATTTCTGTGCTTTACTCGTTGTATATTATAAAATCTATTTAAGTTATCCTTAACATAAAATCCTTAGTTTATGCAGTAGCGACACTTAATTCAAACATGTGTACCAAAATTGAAGTCAATTGAATTATTAGTGTGGGAGTTTTGTACGGCGACTTAGAAAACATGGTTTCGAGAAAAACACATTTAAACTTTAATAACATGTTTAAAGTAACATAACAAGAAAAATTCAACCTCTACCTTATTCTAGACACCTTAAAACCTTATTCTAGACACTTTAATGTATTGATTTATGAAAAAAAGAAAATCAATTTTTTTTTAAATTCTAGACCGAGAAGGGTCCTTAAAGTTATCAAATGGTTAAATAACTTAACTTAGACAATTAAATTTAATTATCTCATGAATTCATAAATGTATTAAATAAATAAATTTCCAAGTAATATGTTCCAAGTTTATAGTCCCCAGTAATTATTTAAGCTAAGTTCTAACTAATTAAATAAGCTATTCCCGTTTAATTAATTAGTTAATTGTTGCTAGGTCTTCAACATCCTTGGCGAAGGTTGTTTTGGCCAGGTATGGAAATGCGAAGCCCTAGGTATCGATGGCAAATCTGGCCCCACAATTGTAGCGGTGAAGACTCTGAAAGAGAATGCCGCCGAGAGAGAACGACTGGATCTTGCACAGGAGCTACGTGTCATGAAGAATTTAGATCCTCATCCCAATGTTGTACGGCTTCTAGGATGCTGCACTGAACGGGAACCCATGTTCGTCATTCTGGAGTATGTCAGTGGCGGCAAGCTGCAGAGTTTCCTCCGAGCCTCCAGAGAAGAGAGAAATCATGGAGGTGCAGGATTAACCTCAAGGGATCTTACTGGTTTTGTATATCAAGTAAGTGATCGAATTGTAAATCTTTAACTAATTGTAAGAATATAACAGCCAGCTGATAAAATTAATTTGAATTTATTAACAAATATATATAAATAACCTGTTCTCTCTCGAATCTGTACAACAATTAATTAAGAAGAATATATGCCATATATTAAAAATTGTAAGAACTTTGTATCTTTCCGTTGATATATTATAAATGTCTTAATAAATTATTTATCTTTGATTGTATTTTTAAGCTTGTTATTGACCATTCTCCTTAACTAATTAAATTTACTATTTATAGATCGCCAAAGGTATGGAATATCTGGCATCAAAGGGTATCATCCACAGGGATTTAGCTGCCAGGAATATCCTGATCGACGAAAACCGCGCGTGCAAAGTAGCGGACTTCGGTTTTGCCAGAGACGTAGCGGCTAATCAGATTTATGAGAGAAAATCGGAAGGTAGACTACCGATTAGGTGGATGGCACCTGAAAGTTTATATGATAACATATTCTCCGTTAAATCGGATATCTGGAGCTTCGGCATCCTTATTTGGGAGATTGTAACATTAGGATCAACACCGTATCCTGGACTCGCTGCCGCAGAGGTATTAATATAATATAATCTTCTTTATCAATTTTGTTAATTTAATTGACTTAACACAAAATCTGAGCATCAGCTCAATATTGTAATAACAAATTCGAATAAAGATTAATTAAATGCCAAAACCGAACAAATATAAAGAACATTATTGATAAAATAAATATATTAATAATAACATATATATAGTTATATAATCATAAATGGTACTGTTCCATATATAATTATATATTTCTGTATGTAATTATTCTTAATATATTTATTCTGTTTGCAACATTGTACAATTTATACTTGCTCGGTCTTAAATTAATTTTTATTTAAATTTGTTAATTAGCTTAGTTTAATGTTTTTATTTTGTTCTCTGATTGAATCAATTTAATTCGATTTAAAATAGTGTAATTGTATATATAAATATTTCATCTAATTAAATGATTCAATAAAAAATCAATGTGTAAAATTAAATTAAATTGGATAAAATTTAGTTGAATTTAAAACAATTAAAATAAAAATATCAAATCAATACTTGAATGAAATTAACAAAATTAAAAATAAATTTAAGATAAATTAATCGTAAATTAAATTAGAAGAATTAAATCAATTATAAAAAGTAACTGTACGGCAATTAAATGATGTTTTCTTTTATATATTACATCGGAATATTTTTCCAGGTAATGCGAAAGATCAAAGAGGGCTATAGATTAGACAGACCTGAGCACTGTAAAAGGGAGCTTTATAATATCATGTATTATTGCTGGGACAAGGATTCGGCGTGCAGACCATCCTTTGCCGAGCTCGTTAGCCTGACCGAAAGCCTGCTGCTTGATGAGACGGACTATATTGAGCTCGACAGATTTCCGGATCACTCGTATTACAATGTGCTCAATCTTAGCGGAGAGAAACTATAAATCTCGCGTGATAATCGTTAATGTTATGTCGCCCGATTTTCACATAGATATGCTGCCACATATTTTCACAAATGAACTTAACATATTAGAATTTAATTGGATATATTTTCGCCATATAATGAATTATATGGAAAAATCTTACAGACTAAATTATAGAACTGACAATTTTTTAAATCTTAGCCGAAGAGGATCATCAAATTATACGACTCATTGGAAATAATATTGCATTTTACAGTAATGTGTGTTTGATGATTTCGCTTGAGAACGATTTGAGCTTTAATTCTTCTGCTCTTTACGGTATATGACTGTTCGATTGTTCTGTTAAATACTCAGATATACGTGCGTGTTTAATACTCATATATACGTACACGTACAAAAAATATATGATTTATAATAATTAAGAATGAAAAATGTAATTAAATTTAAACGCGACGTCCTCTCCACGCTTACAAATCGAAGAAAAGTATTCCTAATACTTTAGTCGCTATTCATGTCTAGACATGAATCTGTATATATGTACTGAGATGATTGTGAGTTAAATATTGTTGTAAGTTATTGTACAATTGTGTGTTGTAAGAATAAAAAATCTATATACGAGTATATTGTACATACAGTCAGCAATATATTTATGTTTCCTATAAATATTTCATATTAATCACAATAAATTTTATATTAAAATCTATATTATATATTTTATAATAATATAATCAAAATTCAAACTAAACGTGTTTTTTTTAAGCAAATATATCTAAAAGTCTTTATCTAGTAAATATATCCAATGTTCTCTTCTATAATATAATTCTTCTACACAATTAAGATATAATCATATACAAACGATTAGAAAAAAATTTTTTAATTTTTATCGTAATTATATTCGGCCAATCGGCAAAAACAAAACTAAAAAATTAAAACTGCTTGTATGTACGTTTATCTGTAATAAATGTCTAGATAATAATATTATATTTAGTCTCTTTTCCATTGCGTTTTTATTTGATATATGTTTTGCTTAGAAGCATTATTAAAATATGCTTTATGCTTTTTTTAATATCTTTTTTTAGGCTTAAATTATTTTAATTTTTATTTTTTTATAATGCATTGTTAAATTGTTACGCAATTACATCCCAGATAGCACCTATTGGATCATATACGTTTTACAGACGTTTTTTAGCCGTATCTAATGTTCTACAAGCGTTTAGGAAACGTATATAAAACGAACATGTGCTACTGAGGAGGATACACAACATGAATAGAATCAATCAATGTATGTAACAGACAAAACCAACGACAAGGATGTGTTACCCGTCAGAAATATTCGTGGCTACGTAGTTCTTAATGTGCACATGTTACGCACATAGAGACGCCAGTAAATGAGTTACATTTAAAACACGGACACGTTTACTCTTAGGGCGGTATTCATAGGCCGGTATTCATAGTCCGTTCTTATTTCAAGATCGTCTTAAATAATGTCTTAAGATGCTAATATGGCCCTCTGATTGGTTCGTGACTTCTTAAGACTGTACTTAAGACGGTTTTCAATATAAGATCCGATTATGAATACCGGCCTCAGATATCTGTTTGTCCACTAGCTCTTCTATGTGGATAAAACGTGTAGGTACATTGAACTACGTAGCCACACAACAAATATTTTCAACGGGTAATACACTATGTCCACGGTCTTTACAGTAGAAAGTTGGTAAAAATAGCGACAGAGGGTACTATAATCTCTTTCGCTTAACAAAAATAATTTATTTTTCTTGATTTTTCCGTGTTATTCTATGTTATTATGAGAGTACATACACACCCCTGGCGGAAAAAAATGTTTACGAAAAAGTACTGAAAAACTATAATATATAGATTGAAACAAGATTTTAGAAAATCTTAATTTTTCCTAAATATTTGTAATAGGAATGTGTGTTTGTCTTAGAAATTTTTAGTTTTTCGTAGATATTCGTAGATAGTGAGACATAGAGTGCACTGCAAAAAGAAATGTGTTTTATTCTTGTCTCCATTTTTTAAACACTTAAAGATGTTTCAGTTTTAAACTTTTTCAATAGACAAAACACTATGTGTTACAAAACACTATACGTTTTAAATCAAAATATGTAGTGTTTTGTCTATTGAAAAAGTTTACAAATTTAAGTGTTTAAAAAATGGAGTTAAGAATAAAACATTTTAATATCTTAAAATTAAACATTTCTTTTTTTAGTTAAAACAACAATTGTTGTTTCAGGGCAAAGGATTTCTTGGTTCCTCAAACAAGCAATGCTACTTTACGTTTCACTACGAACATCTATGAAAAACTAAGAATTTCTAAGATCTTGTCTCAATATATATAACTTTTCGTAAAATTTTTCCGTCAGAGACTCTAGGTCAAAAATTTAGAAACATAAAAAAAGACATTTTTGAGATTACTTACTCCAGTACCCATAACGATGTGTTTTTTTAATATTAACTAGCACATCCCCTGCGTGCGCTACGCGTGCGCTACTCCATTATACTTTCCTTTCTAGACATTATTATGAAATATAATATTACGAATCTGGATTCAAAATGTTTGAATAAGAAAATTTTTTCGCTCATTCCGTTTGGCCACCGACGAGATATTATTAAAGACCGTCAACCCTGGGCAAATTTTCGACGGCATAAAAAGGGCCCCAAGGGCCCGGAGGTAATTCAAGAACGCTGACATTACCGACAATTGATATAAATTGCTATTATTAACATAAATATTTTGCTCATGCATTATTAAATTCATGATTTTTTATTACATAAATGTCCCATAAATAAATATACATACTTGTAAAACTGTAATATTCTATATATTGCAAAAAAAATTACAATTTTTTCTCTGCAATTATCATCTTTATTGATAATCAAACTTTGATGATAACACTGAAATCTCAATTTGAAAGAAAAATCGAGTATTATTGAGTTATAAATGCATAAATACATCTACTAAACTAATAAATCATAAAATTAGTATAATATTAACAGTTTTTAACTCTTAATCACTTCAATATTCACAAGGATGCGAACTCCCATAAGGATGTCGGTCTTTAAGTGGATGCTGGAGTCTTCTTTTTTACCGATAAAGCAAGTGTTTATGTTAAATACAATATTCTACGAATTAGTTGCACAGAATAAAAATTCCTTCTCCACGATTGAAATATCCGTACTAATGTACCTGCTCCTGGTGTGTTTTGTGTCCAAAGCTGAGAAAAATAATAAATTACAGATTTCTGTATCCATGTGTTATTAGCTCACCAAACATTTACTTCGTGAAAAAATTATACGCACGTTATATGCTCGAAATTAGGGCAGGAGCATATGTAGAATACAGTCATATCTTTAGAATTGAGTTTTGACGCCTAAATAAAAGGATAATTGCATTTTACGAAATTGTGTATCTAGCGCGTGAGAAATCGACGATGTACGACAGTTTAGACTGTTTAGCCATGAAATCGAGCAGTATTTTAGTTGATCTCTTTCTAAGAGATGGCGTTACAATATGTTAGATAAGGACAGATGAATGCTTTTGAGCGAGACACAACGATATATAATAAGTATAAGAAGTGAATGAAAGATGTCACTATTATCGAATTTGGAATTAAAAAAGTCTGTACTATCGACCTTGATTAACTTCAACCGTCACTCCAGCATCCCCTTAATAGTATCTCATCGGTGGTTTGGCTAAAAAAAAATTTTTTTGTTGGGGGCTGAGTAGGCAGTCAGTCAGCCCCCCCACCTGTTAAAAACAACCGATTTGGAAAATTAAATACACAGGATTTATGCGCTATTTATGCGCCACTATTTCCAGGCATTTTTGATGGTTGCGCTGCAACCCTTAAGGCACTTCCCTCTTGGCGCGAACAGTCATATTCACCTCTGAATCGTTTAAAATTACAAAATTAAATACTATGACTATGCAAAACAATTTTCTGATTTATGCGCTACTATTTCCAAGCATTTTGGATTTTAGTGCTGCAATCCTTAAGACATTTACCTTGTGGACTGAATAGTCATATTTATTTAGTGCTCAAGCCCTTTTTCCCGCTCTATCTCTTAATTTTTCTCTTTGTATTTCCTCCCTTACCATGTATTCTGGCGTCCTTCCCTAAGACCCACCTTATATATCTCTCCTGTATCCTCTCCACTTCCTCCCTCTCCTTCCATCCCCATATTTCCACTCCATAACTCATTATCGCCCAAATCAATGCTTCAAATAATCAAATTCTCTTTTTCTAGTCTTTTCCAAATCTCTTCTTCCCTCCACACATGTCTCAACAATGCCGCCGCCTTCCCCACCCTTTCCTTCACATGCTCTTCCTGCCCGCCGTTCTTCTGCAACGTATAACTTAGATATTTAAATTTCCTACCTCCTCTATCTCCTTTCTTTTCCATCTCCTATCCACCTTATTACTCCTTCCTAAATTTCACTATTTTTATTTTTTCCTTATTCAATTTTAATCCCTTCCTATCCACATAGCCCTCTAATCTCTGTATCATGCTCCACATGCTTCCCTCCTGCTCCGCTAGTAACACTATATCATCCGCGTATGCCAACTTATATATCTTCCTGCACCCCAAATTCACCTCCCCCCCCCCCCTTTTACCTTTCCCATCTCCTCCAAGTCCGCCGTTATTACATTGAATAACAGCGGACTCAGCGGGCACCCCTGTCTCACCCCCATTACCGTCCAAAGACTTTCTCCTAATTCCCCCACCCCTGTTCTCACTTTACTCTTTGTTTCTCTTAATAGCTCCCTCATCTTTTCTACCAGCTGATTACGACGAATTGATTAATATGTAATATCACTGACTAATTTTAATTGTTTATAGCTTGAAAAGTTATACGAAATATAAAATATTGAAAAATCGAATTTTTTTTTCTGCATTCGTTTGCTCATTGTTTGCTCACGAATACTCGCATTCGAACGGAATGAGCGCAAAAATTCTCTTTCCCCACCACCTCCTCCCTTAACGCCGCCGTATATACCTTATATAATGATAGCATTATCGATACCCCCCTATAGTCCCTTACCTCCTCTCTCTGTCCTTTTTTCCTAACCGGTACTACCACTCTCTCCTTCCATTCCTCTGGTCATCCTCCCCCCCTTTTCCAAACCTCATTACACACTCTCCACATCCATTCCTCCATCCCCTCCCCCCAAATATTTCCATACCTTATTCGAAATCCCGTCTACCCCCATTGCCTTTCCATCCTTCAAGTTTCTGGTCACCTTCCTTATCTCCTCCCTTAGCTCCCTCTCTATATAAATAGCGCATAAATCCTGTGTATTTAATTTTCCAAATCGGTTGTTTTTAACGGGTGGTGGGTGGGGTTGACTAACTGTCTACTCAGCCCCCCACAACAAATTTCATATTTAGCTAAACGGAATGAGCGCAAAAATTTTTCCATTCCTGTCTCTCTCTTCCCCTTTCTCCCTTTACCACTCTCCCTTCTACCCTCCCCCCCAACAAATTCTTGTAATATTCCTCCCACTCCCTCTTCCCTATCTCCTTATTTATCCCCTTCCATCTCTTCCTTTCCCTGTTTACTATTTCCCACATCGCCTCTCACTCTTCGCTCCC